TACACGTACCCGCTCAATTATTTATCATGGAATAAACCTGTCTTCAATTTAATAGTAGGTCACTCTTGGCGATTAAAAACAGTTTGTGCTCTTATATCAGACTTTCCGTTTTTCTTCTGTTTTTATTCTAATGATAAGTATGCTCTTTGTTAACCCAATTATTTATGCCAAAGAAACTGATGACAACTTACAGCATCTTCGCTAAAACTTTGAACTGTAACTTCTCGATGTGATCGTTCTCAATGAGAGCTTTGATTTCTTGACTCAGTGAAAAGACCTTTAAAAAAGTCTCTGGCAGAATAACGAGATCTCAACGGACGGCGGCCTCGTTCGTGAAGTTTTGAAGCGCAACCGAGCATTTTAACTTGGCACCGAAAGGCGACAAATCTTATCCAGGTTAACTCGCAATTCGGCGAAACAGCCTCTGTAGCCACAGTTCATCCGCCACTCGTTTATAGACGCGTAAACGCGTATTTACGCATTTGGTAAATCTTCTTAATGATTAAAACAATTTTTTTAATCTTGAAGGAGTCAAAAATGAATTGAGTTAATATTTCATTTGAATAGCAACATAATGTCATTGTTTTAGCTTGCCACTTACGTCATAATCAGTGCTATCATCGTCGTATGTCCTATGAATGTTTAAATTGAGAAACTGTATTAGCTTTTATTTATGTTAAGTTACGACAGATGATATCATATTTGATATGATGGTATCGTGTTATGAATCTTACACGGAAGGTCTACGTTTACTTTGTCTCCAGACATTCTAAATTAGAACAGATTGTTACCTCTGCCTTCCAACAGTGCCTAGAATAAAGATGAGAGGAAAAACACTGTAAGGACAGGAGCCAAAGTTTTATATGCTGTATTTATGATAGAGGTTATCGGCACATCCCAAAGCACAAATAATAGGGAGCTTTTCAGTAAGGACGACGGCGACGGCAAGGAAAACGTCGTGTCGAAATCTAACTTTTGGTTTTTGTAACTCTTTCGAGGTTATGTGTTTCACTTGGAAAATGCTGGCGAACTATTCAGGGACTATATCACTACGAACGGTGTTAAAGTAAGAAGAAAGAAAGAAAAATTAACCGTCATGCGCTCACATTCTCGAGAAAACCTAAAGTTTGGTTATTTCACATTGTTGTTTTGCCGAGAACGGCAAAGAAATGTACCAAAATGGTAAACGCACGTGCAAGGCGATTGTTTTTACTCATTACGCCTATTTTTTTCTGCCGTTCTCGTTGCTGTCGCCGTCGTCAATGCTAAAGCTCCCTAATGGATGAACGCTTACCTTTCCTGTGTTGCCACACTATGTAAATTATTAGAAGAAAGATTATGAAGGTAAGAACACCAATAATGGCCTTTAACAAGACGTCGTTACATGGGCAGTTACATTCCTCCGGACCTGAAATGATTGGTTTCATAAAGCTTAGTGAGGTCAAATTCCAACAAGGTTTTCAAAGTAATGCTGGTCGATGTGCCTTTCATGATAATGGAAAAGGACGGTGAGTGAAATATGTCAATTTTTAGTTTACAAATTGACAGAAAACTTGATATATGTTTCTGAATATTTAAAGACGATCTAATGTCAGTCTGCTGGTAGGAATTGAATCTCCATAATTATTATACGTGTTATTATTATGTGTTATCAAGTTGTTCTGTGGCAACTGTCTTGGTTCTTTACTAGAGAAGGTTAAGGTGGCTCGTATTACTGCTACAGCAGATGAACCAATTCACATCATATATATCTCAAAACATTTAAACGATAAAATCATAAACACGGTACTCATTGTACTTCAACTTCGTCACTTGCTAAAATTTTCTTGGACCAATGTCAATTCATTCGATTGCTCATGATTGGCTTGGATTGTACTTTCACTGAATTCCCGTTTAAACTTTAAAATCAGTTCAGTAAGATAGGAAAGGCTCTGTTTGAATAAGCTGACCAAACAATCTTACTTGACACTTTCCTTACATAGCACTAAGACCTTTATTGTTTCTAGTCAGGTGCAAAGGCGCTCTGTTATTTCATTATAAGTTTAATTGAATTAAATGTATCAGAAAAGCACTCTATATTTCTGGAACAAAGTTAACTACTTTATAGAATATGAAAATCCATTTGAGTCAATGTTGAGGTATTAAATATGATTTTGGCTTCTACCTGGCACAGTGGGTAAAGAAACTTGTTTGATCGAGGCTGAGTTTACACTAAAGACCCCGAATTTGTTCTGTTCTGCAGCATTCTTCAGTGAAGTCAACACCGCGCTAATCGCTACACTTTCGTTAAAGTACATTATGAAGTTGACAATAACACTGCCACACCTATGAATTGAAGAGCAACAACAAAACATTTTTATTGAATTATGAGTTAAAAAGGTGACCCCGTCGTGAACTTACTTGTCATGTTGGGGTCTTATAATCAAGCTGAACTCCCGTTGAAAAAATAAAGTCTTCATCGTTGATTTTGGCATTCAAAGTGTCTTCTTCATTTCCTCCAAACCGAAGGCCCTTCCCAAATTAAAATGTGGGAATTAATTCGACCCGTTCGCCCAGTGTGGCTCCATTTCTCGGGAGTTGTTTCACTTCTTTTCGGGTATACAGACAAATAGACAATATATTTTTGACCAAGCAAAGCGCACGTTATCACCAAGTTATGTCATAAATCTATATATCCTTGAATGCACGTAAATTTCATAAATGATTACAATAGACTTGGACATAGTCCATTCTAAATTTATAGCATGTTATATTCTTTATGCAGATCGTTCAAGTTTTAAACACAACACATTTTAGGGGGTTTCAGTTTCCCTCTCCTCATCTCTCAAACAACCTTACTGAGCGATTCAAAGGAATATTTACTCTTTATAATACCTGCTGTTTACAGTAAGAGCAGCTATACAGCCATAATTGACGACCAGTTCGCATGCCTAAAAAGTACATGTCTATTAGTGTCACTCTGAAAAGTACAAAATCATTGTATAAGACAGCAATTCCATCTCCATATACTAAAGTTATGCAGCCGCGTCGTAATTCATTTATTAATTTATCCATTCATCTGTGGTTGTGTCAGTCTCTTGTCATGTTCAGCCTTCTTCAAATTTACCTATTTATGTATTCACTTGTAGGTCTTAATCAAACCATTCATCCAATTTTTTTTGCTAATTGTTTATTTTTTCTCAGTTCTTCTATTTATTTATTTATTTATTTATTTATTCATCACCTCATTTTAACTACCATCATACACAAGCCTTCGACAGACCAAATAAACATCTCACCACATTTGGGAATTTGGCTGCGACAAATAAACGTCTGCCACAGTTCTCATTTATGGTAGCTGTTAAGTAAACTTCTCTGTTTCCTGAAACTTAACAGAGCAGTAGATGTAAGGGTCTTTCGAAATGATAACAGAAAACACAAATATAGTGGAGTTCGTAGCGAAGCCCCATACGTGTAGGATTTGTCAGTAACCCAGCAGGCCGAGAAAATTTGGTTTTTCACGTGACCGTCCGACCGACCGTAAGCACAAGGTGTTACTTTTAGAAAGCGCATCCAACCTCATTACGAACACATCTACACCGTAGCATTGCATTTGCTCACAGAACGTTTAAGCGTAATGAGTTACTTATCACCTGCATATAGCCGAGGAGACTGTAGCTTCGAGAATAACTTCATATCCTTGTGTACTTACAGTAAACACATGAGAAACATAATAAAGTGCACATACTTGAATGTGGAAACACAGTGCAGCGTACAGCGGGCACAAAGCAAAGCATAACACGAGGGCTTTACGTTGGTTAGTTAATGTGAAACCAATGCAAGCAGAAGATTTTATTTCTCACAGTGCAAAAATTTATTCAGTATAGATTAAACCCATTGACACTTACGTGTAACACGTGCTTGTGAGAAGTCAAAATTTTGGAGAAACCAAGAAAGCAAGCACAATGCGCAGTAAATTTTTAAAAATCATCTTTTCCAAAAAACAAGCTCCAGCGAAAGAAGACTAATTAAAGAACTTATTCCCGACGAAAAAAGCGATAGGTTAACTCAAAAATCAAGATGAAAGATAAAACTCGCTAAATATTTTCGCATGTGTGCAAATGGGCATGTGGATCATGTTTCAAAATGGAATATACGAATTTGTCTGTGTGTGAAGAGATCCCAAGTTCCATGGAAGCAAGACTAAAATGACCAAGAAATATTTCTGGACGACAGATTTATTCAAAACAGTTTTTGATTTGCTGTTATAAGCGAAAAACGTACGAATTTCTAACGTGCACAAAGCCCACGAGGTAAAATTCATCATGCTTAGATCGTTTTTTTCTCGCCTTCAAGGATAGCAATTGCGCAGCGTTATGTTAGAAATTCTGACAAAACTTCGATTTGACGAAAAATATTCTATTAAACAACAATTTTTGATCACATTGTTACTCGAATATAATACTTATTGCGTCATCGAATTGTCAAATTGTCGCTAGGCCCTGCTTGAAGTCCGAAAGTTAAGTTCTCACTTTACGTCCATAATTCGCATCGCCTTAGAGAATCGTGGTGTCGTTGACTCGAGAGCTTATTCTGTCACTTTTAAGACCTTGATATCCATTCTTTTTCAAGAAGAATATTCTATAACATTGTCACTTTTCATTCTGAGTTCCACACAGTCTAACTCGATCGCAAATGAACGAAAAATCCGATCTGAAAATTTTGAGGGTCGGCCGCGCGGACGCCACATTTTCAAATTTGATCATATCATACTTTCGTGATAGCATACATGACAGAGGGCACGTACGTACGTACGTACGTACGTTCGGTCAGTCACGTGACAACCAAACCAAGAGAGGTTGACCATATTGCATGGGTATGGGGCTCTGCTCCACGCGCGCTCCGCGCGCGTGGGAGCCCCGCTATTAAAACCACGTTGCAAAGGAAAATATTGTAATCGTTGAAGAGAAAATAAAATTCATTTTAACATACTTTCTATTGCCTTGACTT